TAGAACCTCAGATGGGTTTTTTGTTTTGTTTATTTTTGTTTTGTTTGTTTCGTTATTTCACACGCACATGCCAATTTTAAAAACACCTTTAGACCTTTTCATTTTGGAAATGTTTTTATTGTTAAAGACAGATCATTTTTACATGTGGATCATTTTTGTATAGAGTGATGAGAAAAAGTCCATGTGCCACTTCTCATTTCTTTATATTTTGCTTGAAAAAAAAGGGAATTGGCAGAGTGATTTACTGAAGCATGTGCAAATATATATAAATACATGTATTTACAGCATATATGAGCAAAGATTGAGTTTGTACTCCATTTTCAATCCATTTATTGGTGGTGGACCTGTATCTGATGCCACTGAGGTCACAATTCATCACTTTTGACAAGATCTCCAACACCCCTGGATGAAATGCATCTCCAAACCATGACGGAGCCTCCACTGTGTTTTACAAATAACTGTAGACACTCACTGCCGTGCCTCTCTCCTGACGACCTTCCTGCATATTGATGAGAATCTGAGCCAAAAATGTCATATTTGAATTCATCACTCCATCAGATCTGCTGCCACTGATTTTCAGTCCAGTTCTTGTGTAATTTGGCATGCTTCAGCCTTTTCTCCCTGCTTCCCTTCCTTAAGAACAGCTTCTTGACAGCCACCCTTCCACTGAGACCATTTCTGGTGAGGCTTCAGTGAACACTAAATGGATCACCTGACGGGCCAGATCCATCTCTCGGGTCCAGTATCAGGTCTTTGTGGATTTTTCTTCATGTGTCTTGAGGACATGACTTTCAGATACCGTCTATCTGTTGTATCTGTGCGTCGCTGTTACGGAAAGAAATGAAACGACAGCGCACTCCTGTGGTCACGTGTCAAACTGTAGCTCGCCGACTTTGACCCGGAAGCTCTTTTCACTGACCCGTGTGTTTTTCCTGCCTCACACGTGGGGTTTTCAGCACTGAGCAACATGGCAGCGTGCAGTGTAGAGGAGTTGTTGGCTAAAGCTGAGGCGCAAGAGGCGGAAACGCTGAAAAGCATATCAGTCCAGAAAGAGCTGGACCTGGAGTTTGACATCGGGAACCTGCTGGCGTGTGACAAAAACCGCATCGAGCCTCGCGACCTCCGGGAGAAGAGCAAAGAGGACTTTCTGCGCGCTCTCGCTCGCGACAACACGCAGCTTCTCGTCAACGAAATATGGAAACGGCCCACGGAGAGGGTCGAGGAGGCGATAGTGGCCAAACTGCCGGAGCCGACGACCCGGCTGCCCAGAGAGAAGCTACCACCGAAACCCAGACCTCCAACAAAATGGGAGCAGTTCGCCAAGCTGAAAGGCATAAAGAAGAAGAAGAAGACCAACCTGGTGTGGGATGAAACTGCAAAGGAGTGGAAGAGGCGCTGGGGCTACAAGAGGGCCGGCGATGACACCAAAGAGTGGCTGATCGAGGTGCCCGAGAGCGCAGACCCGAATGAGGACCAGTTCGCCAAACGCGTCAAAGCCAAGAAGGAGAGGGTGGCCAAAAACGAGCTCAACAGGCTGAAAAACATCGCCAGATCGCAGAAAGTCAAGATCCCTGCTGTAACCCTGACCCCCAAAGCCAGCCAGTCCAAAGACGAGCTGGCCAGAGCCGAGAGTGTGGCCAAAACCTCCACAGCATCCTTGGGGAGGTTTCAGGACCGCCTGCCCAAGGAGAACCCAGCAAAGAAGGGCAAGAAGAGGAAATTCGAGCCCCTCATTGGCAACTTTTCTAATGAAAAGCAGAAGCAGCTGGAGCTCCTGAAAGTCATGGACACTAAGAAGCCCAAGTTGGACATCACCAAAGCTGTGAATAAACAGATGAGGCAGGAGGACAGAGAGGATGCTGCTGCAAAACACAAGAAGGCAGCAGGGAAGAAGGGACGTAAAGGCGGCAGCATGGGTGGAAAGGCCAGAGGAAAAGGTGGGAAAGGAAAAGCAGCTGGAGGGGGAGGAGGGAAGAGAAGAGGCAAACCTGGGAAGCGCTGAGGACTCTTGTGTCTTCCTGTGTGTGGTTGTGTGTGTGCCTGCCTTGGCATGAAAGTGTTGGACATTCATGATGCAATATGAACAGAACATCTGGTTTACCTGTGGCCCACGGGTGGGATGCTCCCTCCATCTATGTAAACTATGTTTACTGTACATTTTGACTGCAGCATCCATGATGATTCTTTTCGATGTATGTGTAATATTCATGAAAGAATTTCACAAATATACTTTAATATTACAGCCGAGTAGAACACGAGTGACTTGTTTTTCTGTCTTTAATTATTGCAGATGTGATTTTTTTAGTTCTGTGTGAGTAAATTGATGCTTCAAGTCTGAAACGGTTAAGTTAAGTATCGTAAAGCGTTTTAGATCCTTGATAAATGAGACATATTTGAAAATAGGTTGTTTTTAAGGCTATTTTTGTTACCCTTTACATATTACTTTGTAAACTACATATATACATTCAAAATATTTGACTTCTAATTTTTAATTTCATTACGTTTTCATATGATTTACATAGTTTTAACAGAAGTTTAATGTAGTTTATGTAACTGGGGAAATACTTTAATAGTACTAATAAAACCAGAGTGTTTGTGCAAAACAAATTGGGATTATAAGCACTATTTGATATTTAAAAAAAAAAAAAAAATCTTTAAATTTGGCTCAGGGACCCACATTTATCTGTAGCCAGGAGGTCAAGAGATAATTTCCTATAAATCATAAAGGTTTGCTGCTGAATGATTAAAAAAGTGTTATTCAAATGAAGCTTTTCACGTGATTGTGGCTAATCATGTCAAACTAATTAGCGCGCTCTCTGCATCAACTCGTTCCTTTGGAAGCTTCTTGCTCCATTTGAAAAAAGAACAAAAATGTGCCTCCCATAAGTCAAAAATTCAGGTTATCAAACTTGGTAACTTAAAAAAACTTGAAGTTATTAACTTTAAATTTTGAGATATGGATGACAGAAAAAGCTGTTTTTTCATTGGCAGAAACAAGCTTCCATATGTTTCCACTGCTGCTTAGCTTTGTTTATTAGCCAATTAGACTGTATGGACAAAAGTCCATCTGGCATCTGTCTTTACAAACATTTTTGAAAGAGTGGGTCGTTCCCTGAATTTAACCGTGGTTCTGTAGTGGGAATGCAATGAGTTCATTTAAAGTGGAAGTGTTTAGGAACCACAGGAACTCTGGGTGAAGTTAAGGTCGCTGAGGTGCTCTGCTGACTCATACTTACACATGTAGTGTAAGTATTACAAGAGTGTTTATATCTACAGCATACTTTTCTACACTTATCCACATTTCACCAATGCAGCAGCAAAGTAGTCCAACAATATGCATGTTCATCATTATTTCAATTTATTGTAAAAACTGTGGAGTTAATAGGTGAATTTTCTGCTCCTGGATATGAACATATATGCATGTCAGAATATGAGACTGCATAAAAAGCCATGCAGTAGCTAAGAAAAACTCAGCCAGGGTTGGTAATGTGCAACAATACCTCTTATGGTGTATTTAATAATTTGTTTGTGTGTATTTAGTAATATAAGGTGTATTTTCTGAAAGAATATGGGGGAAAAATTGGTGCCGCACATTCTGGCTAGTTAAAAATGTGGCCTACAATGGCCCAGTGCTCCCAGGGGTATTTAATGGAAACGTTCAAACAGGTTTTTTTATACATACTTGTTAACTAATTTACATGGTCTTGGGAAATAGCTTCAAAGCTTCCCATTCATATTAAATGAGGCTGGTTAACTGCAGCAACAAGCTCCAGCCAGTAAATGCATGTCAGCATCAGATCAGATGTATCATTCATGTAACAGCAGAGAGGTTTTTATGCTCAGAATATATTTTTTTAAGCTGCCGCAGATTGTCTTTACAGACTCTGAGCTGTTCAGTGTTCATCAGTTTTCTTCTTCCGAGAAGCATCAGATCGGATTTCTTAGCAGCTTAGCGGTGTTTTTTTTGGTTATGTAAGGGCTTCGGTTTGGCCTTGATGTCTAGACTGGAGCCATCGTTCTGAATTAGGAGCAGTGTATAGTGTAACAAATAGCTCACAAAGCCAGAATCTGCAACTTAAGTACATTTAAACACAACACAAAGCAAACTGTGAGTGGGATTTTTCTCTCATCCAGTTGAGCACGTCTTTCTTTTGTGGTGGTATTGAGGTGTGTATTTCCACGGTCTTCACCCTTTTGAAAGAGATTGGTCTTGGAGCCAGAGTGGTTGCAGTCTAGTCTAGTCCATTTTCCTGGACTGCTAAGGCCTCAGATAATGAGATTTATTAGTCTCCTGCATTTAGAGGTGTTTCCACTTTCAGGCAGCACACAAACGCACCTCTTGCTCTGTTCACCTAGATAATCCATGATCCTCTGACAACCTTATTTCCTGTTGACACTGATTGTAATTATTTGTGAAAATTGACTGCGCGTAATTTCTGTTTGGATTGTCTAGAAGAACAAAAAGTCAAATCCTTCTGCGTGTGCTGTATCCTCACTTTGTCGCCAAGGCTGCGGGGTGCTCTGTCCAGCTCCAGCTGAGTCATCTCTCATCTTAGTGACGGATGCCTTTTTATCACTAATGCAAGCTCGCAGCCAAGCGCCTTCGCACCAGAGCTGGAGAGGGGAGGCGGTGGTGGGGTTTCAATCACCATCTGTTGAGCGGTCGGGCACTCTGTCCCCAGCCCTATCATCTTTGTCCCTGCTCACCCAGGCCACAGGAAAGTGGGGCACAGCCAATAATCAATCAAGCACTCCTGATGAGGTGAAATTATGAATTCTCATTCACATCTGAGCAAGCAGTAGCCTCTAAACTTCTTTTGCATGTGGCCAGATGGTCAAAGAACAATAGACATTGGCAGCAAGATGGAGTGGTCAAGCATGATATATGAGAAAGATGCCGCCTCTTATTCCAAAATAAAAAGCATTGGTGTCAGGTGATAAGAAAATTCTAACAATCATACATTTTCTGACATAAACTAAGATTTTACTCGTCCCTGGTCACGTGTATGTGTGTCTCTGTGTGTGTGTGTCCAGCTCCAGTCTGTGCTGCAGTGGATTAGTCAGCTGCATTTATTTAAGGTATTGCAGAGAGAGCTCAGTAGTCCCGGACAGTGTGAGAGCGTCCGATCTTCAAGATGCAGCGCATCTACATGCACAGCAATGAACACTTTGAGGTTTTCACCACTGTCCTTGCTCCACAAGGTGAGTGGAATCATATCTGCAGGGAAGTGTGGCTTAGCAGGACATTATTTATGTGGTTAGCAAGAGCAAGCCCAGTGCCAGCTGACCGATAAATGCCTTGTTTTCCCTCCTTCTGGACAGTGTACATAAAGATTTAGCTGCACAGATGTGCATTAATGTCGAGGTCTTCTTATGGACATTTGCATATTAATGAAAAATGTTGAAAATAACCCTTTTTTGCTGATTCATTTCTGCTCTCGATGATAAACAGGGAGGTATCGATACAGAGCAGAAGCTGAAAAGGCAAGTTCACTTTTTTCTTAATTTTCATCAACAGAAATCTGCATATTTAACTGCACTGATATGAAAATGAGAACTCAATTCACAGGTTTATGTATGCTTATATATGTCAAAGACTAATGGATATGAATGTGACATTGCATCAGTTTAATCAGTTTCCTGCAAAACTACGCATTTAGTTTTCCACTTTCTCTCACATAATATTCAGGTGTAACATAATGAAGGGTAAACCCTGATTAAGAGTTACCATTACACTAAATAACAACTAATCCAAGTCTTCACACGTAATCCTTTCCATTCACCGACTCTGATCTGCGGGCTGTAAAAAAAAGGAGCTGGACGCTGATCATGAACAAGTTCTGCCCTAACATAAATGTAGCATTGAATTTTAATCTTGCAATATTGAATATTCAAATTAGAGTTAAAAATTATTGTAATTCTCCTTTTGTCCATTAGATGGTAGTGGTGCACAGGTACAGGCCCCACTGGCCTGACGAGCTGGAGCTGTCTCCAGGTGACGTCACCCTGGTGCTGTCCAAACACGAGGAAGGGAGGTGGTTTGGGCAGCTGCAGAATGGGCAGCGAGGTTATTTCCCCGCCTCATGTGTGATGGAGCTGCGCCAGGTTGGTTGGCTTCTTGAATGTGCTCAGTAATGCAGAGAAAGTGGACAGAACTGTTGCTGCTGCAGCTTACAGATGACAGATTATATTATCCTCTCTGCTCTGCTTGTCACATCATGTATGTTTTAAATAAGCCAGAACCAAATGTGTGCCTACATAAACATATTACAGTCATGACAGAATTTAGAAACGCCTATGAGAGGTGTTTCCTTAAGTCAGTCTTGAATTGTTGCACATTTAATAAGGGATATTTATAAAGGGTAATTCATAAATTTCAGACTTAAATGCATAATATTTGCACTGGTTTTGGTGGGAGCTCATATTGTGCAGTGATTGACCAGAAGCAAAGAGATTTCTCACAATTTTACCTTCTCTAATTTAGCAGTTAAACACTGACAAACACAGCAGGTGTTAAGAAGTATAACATGCTCCTCACTAACAGTTAATAACTATAAACTATTCTCTCACCATTCTCTGAAAAAAGTTTTAAAAATTTCCTGTATTATCAAAATTTTGATAATGTCAGTTTGATTTATGTTATTTGCTATAACAAAAAGACATGATCAAAAATTACTTCTATGTTTTTGAACAACACAAATAAAAAAAAAATCAAAAACAACAAGAAGAAAAGTGTTTTAAATAACTCTATTTTATAATTACTGTCTATTTACTATTAAATAATTAATAAAAGGTGGAATTAAAAACATCATGTTTCCACTCTCAGGCAAATCTGCCTCCCAAAGGCCTTCGGAGGAGTTTATCTGTGAGGACTACACCCGGTGACAGTGAACGCGGCAGATATGGGAAGTAGGTGTAAACACACACATCAATAATTTCATGCTTCCCTCTTATCAAGTATATGCACACACACACACAGACACACAATCATGCACGTACACCCAGCATTCGGCAGATGTTCCCCACATCCCCCATCTCCAAATCCCACCCCACTGCTCTCCGCCCAGCACCCCTGAACAGGTGGCCCCTCTCTTCCCTCATTAGTTGACAAAGCACACTGATTACTGAGCCTGCTAAGCACACACGCGCACACACACGCACACAAGCTAGTCAATCCCCTTCTCACAGTGCTGCATCTCATTAGGGCCAAAGAAGAGCAAGAGGGAAAGAAAAGACTTTGTAGTTGTTGTTGTTTTTATCTAAAAGAAAAAACAGTCAAATACACCCCTGCAAGAACTATTTGATATACAGCACATTTGGTTTATTATAATAAAATCTATTACATTTCATAGCGCATACTCTCTCTCTCTCTCTCTCACACACACACACACACACACACACACACACACACACACACACAC